ATTATTATTATTATTATTATTATTATTATTACTGTAGTCCAGCGATTGGCTTAATAAGTTGAATGTGACTGGGAACTTTAAGGGTTTTATACCTCATTGTAAGCTGGTGGGAACTAAAACATCAAAACCTGATCTTTTTTGTTGTTGTTCTTGTTGACAGCATACTGTTTGGAAAGGGCTTTAGTAAATTCTACTCTGAATTTGTTCTCTTTTCATATTTTATAATCTCTTGCACTAATTTAGTACTCTAGATAATTTTTTTGCCCTCCTTCTTAATGTAGTAGCCAGTGGCTATATCGCCCTGCAACTGACAACTGGCAGCCCACTGAAGCTCAGCAGCTGTGAGCCTGGTCAGTACCTGGATGAGAGACCTCCTGGGAAAAAACTAAGGCTGCTGCTGGGAGAGGTGTTAGTGGGGCCAGTAGGGGGCGCTCACACCACAGTCTGTGAGGGTCCTAATGCCCCTGAATAGTGACAGAGACACTATACTGTAAAAGGCGACGTCCTTCAGATGAGATATAAAACGAAGATTCCTGACTCTGTGGTCATTAAAAATCCCAGACCATTTCACAGAAATACCCCATTGTCCTGGACAAATTTCCCCCTGCTGTTTACTAATTATAGCCTCTTAATAATCCCCACCTATGACGTGGCTTCATCGCTCTGTTCTCCTCCCCACTGTGGCTCCATCCAGGTGGGGCTGCACACTGGTGGTGGTGGAGGGGAGTCCAGCGCTTTGTGTTGAGTGTCCAGAAAAGCACTGTGTAAGGGTTATTAGTTATAATGAGAAAACCTGCAGTAACCTTAGTAAAAGCTTTGGTTGACGGGCTTTGAAAAACATTTTTTGCAAGTCATGTAACCACACTTCTGTCTCTTTCCTTGGACATTTTGTGGCACACCGGTGAATTGGACTGTGCCCCTGTATGTGACTGCCTGTAACGGTAGACATGACAGTCAACAGCCAGTCTGACAGCATGGCGATATACTCCTGTCGTTGTCCCACAGCTGGCAGACGTGAGTTCCATCCCGAGTGTCAGAGACGTGGCGCGTCTGGGACCAGGGGAAGGCGAGGCCCAGCTTGGCCTGGTCCACTGGGTTTTATCCTCCAAGAACTTCACTGTGAAGACGCTGCAGAGGGAAGAGGTAGGTTTGCTCCTCATTTTCGCTAAAACAAACATCAAGCGTAAACTGTATTAAACCGCTGTTCGGGAAAAAAAAACCCGGTTATTTTACAAAAACTGTACTCGAAAACGTCTCCATAATGGCACACCACTAATCTGGAAATTCAAAGTTGATGATTGCAAAGTGACCCATGCGTTTGAGACATACACTACACAGATCTCATCAGTGACTCATAAGCTTCAGGAGAATACATATGAATGATCTTGGATATTTTATGTCGAGTCCTCACCAAGACAGTGGGCAAGCTAACAGGATACTAGGGATATAGAATATAAAATTGAAATCAAGGTAAAAATTATGCTCATATTTTATCATGCTGTAGTAAGACCTTGTTCTATGATTAGATTAGATTGTTGATCTATGTTGTTCACCACTCCACCAGAAGAATGCTGGAACATTACGATTAATATAGATTTGTCACCTACAGGCAGGTTAAAGGAATGATATTTCTTCAGTGCAGACCAGTTTATGTGATATGTGAGCTTCTAAGGAATATATATAGGGACTGTTTTACATTTGCTAGCAAAACAAGGGCACAGGGTCATAACCAAAAGTAAAAGGGGAATGCCTTCAAAATAGAAAATAGAAAGCCATTCTTTGCACTGAGGGATCTGGCTATCGAGAACAAACTTCGCAGACACATGGAGGCCAGAACTCAGGGCTCCATCAAGAAAGTGGCTGAATGAAAGTTTAGATTCAACAGCAAAGATGCGCGGAATAGGCTCTTCACATGCGGTGTCCTTCCAGTGTTCTACTGTTTATCTTCAAGGTCCTTTTTTTTTTTTAGTTTGGCTGCTAAATGCATAATCCTGTCGAGGGTGAGCATAAAGAATCACTTGACCTTGGGCACCTCTGAAGGATAAATGTTCTTTTCGTCCGTCGAGTCTTGCTTCACTGTTCTCTTTCTCTCTGCGGCTCTCCCTGCTGCGGTACCCGCAGTTCGTGAGAATCCAGGAACTGGCGGAGCCCGAAGGACGGTGCGTTCCTGCCCCAGACTTCCTGTTTGAGCTGCAGTACTGTGACCAAGTGAACGCCAGGTTCCAGGAGACCAGAGGAGACCGGGACCTCATCTACGCGTTTCACGGGAGCCGCCTGGAAAATTTCCACTCCATCCTCCACAACGGTTTACACTGTCACCTGAACAAGGCGCGTGTTGAATTTCTTCGCATCATGCGTTTGGGCAAAGTATTTTAAACTTTTTAATGTTTTGTGATCTGGAGTCCATAATGCATTGTTAGTGAGTTATATTTCTGTGATAGTCACACGGGGCATTCAGTTAACTGTTGAGCAATATTCAGGAATGTCAGTTTCCACTTCTAGGATTGCTCCTATGAATGCTAGGATTACCCAGCATCTTGAACGTTTCTCTGCTTATGTTTGCTGTTCATTTTCAGCTGCAGTTTCTTGAGATTTTCAAGGCTACAGTTTCATACTGTCAAAGTTGTACATTTAGTTTGGCAGCCTCCGACAGGCTCTCTCATACTCTCATGCCTTAGGTTTAGACAAAAGTCTCAACCACTATACACAAGAAGGAGCTGGGTGGGGGTGAACGGTGCTGAAAGGTACAGCCTGCCTCTATGAACTTCAGGGGTATTAATGGGACCGATGGTTGCCCTTTGCAGACCTCGCTGTTTGGTGAAGGCACTTACCTCACCAGTGACCTCAGCTTGGCCCTGCTCTACAGCCCCCATGGCAACGGCTGGCACGAGAGTCTCCTGGGACCCGTGCTGAGCTGCATCGCCGTGTGTGAGATCATCGACCACCCCGATGTCAAGTGTCAGGTGAAGAAGAAAGGTAAAGCGAGGTCTGGGTCTCTCCCTAGAGAGGCTTTGTGGAGCAGGGGCCTTAGTACCATGTGCCGTTCATCGTGCTGCCTTTTCTTCCATGTCATGTTCCTTCTGCTCACCTTGTTGCCAGCAGACATTTTTCCCGATGTGAGTTGTGAATGCAGGTTGTGAGTGGTGTCAAATTTGTGATTGTTTTGGTTCGGCTTTGTGCAATCTGTTCGTTTCTTTGGGCCATTTTCAAGCAGAGCCAGGGCGTGACAGTGCCATCTGGTGGCGAATGAAAACCCCCATGCTCCGAAGGATATTCACAATTTCTCATTTTTTCTTCAGGTGCCATGTTTCAAATAAATAAGGTGTCTTTAATGAGAACAGTTGTGTGGTGTCTTGCATGAAGGCAGGCTGTGATCTCTGTAGTTTGCTGTAGTGCTTGAACAGGTGTCCACATTGATTAGCACAGAAGGGGGAGTTTCCAGCCCCGAGACTGAGACTGCCTGTGGTTTTGTCAGACTCGGAGAGAATCGACAGGCGTCGGGCCCGGGTGAGGAACAGCGAGGGCGGAGATGTGCCTCAGAAGTATTTTGTGGTGACCAATAACCAGCTGTTGAGGGTGAAGTACCTGCTGGTCTACTCGGAGAAACAGCACCGGAGGAGGTGAGTGTCTGTACTGGACACTGTGGGCAGTGCTTACCAAAGGACAGGTTTTAGACTGAGCATGTCCTGATTTATTTCTGTGCATACTCGTCCCTCCTTGAGTTATCACAGTAATCATATATCCCTTATTGAGTCTTATTGCAGTGTGTCACTATTTTCTGGCCCGTTAGCTCTTTGCAACAGTAATTTCACTTTAATTTGCTTATTAAGTAGGTCTCCAACCCCAAGCCTCGATCCAAGTTATTTTATAGGTCACCATAAATCGCCTGGTATCTGAAGAAAGAACGCTAAGCATTTGTTCGGTTTAGAAAGCAACGTTTCAATGAAGCGACTGCTAATCCTTGAGGCATGAAGGATATTCTGATTTTTGTTCGTTGATTTTTGATCTCCGCATTACTTAATTGAGCGGTTCAATTGATCATAGTTAAATTGTTGTGGGCCTTTAGAAACTGATGATTTAAAGGCCACCTGTAATGCCTGCTGGACTGGAGCTCTCCAGAATAGGGGCTGGTGATCTTTGGTTTCAACAGAATGCTTAGTCGTATGGGTTTGCTAAGCATTCTGAAGAAGAGCTGTTTTGAAGTAAGAAAGTAGCAAAACAAGACAGGTGATACCTAGCCACACCATAAAAAGTCTGTGCCAAGGATTGTTCCTAGTAGATTGTATAGTCACTGTCCCGCTAACAGTATGTCTGGTGATGCACATGTGCAGAGCCCTTCCATGTTGACATAAATATCACTGGCATTGAAATACATAAAAGAGCTGCAGCAGGACACCAGGTTTGAAGTGTCCTGCTGCAGTGAGTAGATACAAGTACATTGGTCTTGTGCGTCATGTGAAGGCTTGACACAGAAAGTTGTTAATTATTCCCATGGGCAGCTGTGGGAAAATATTTTTGTGTGGGGTGGGGGATTCTCATTCTAACATGCCAAGGCTTTGTTTAACTCTGTGTTTTTGTATGATTCCAGGCACACAAGGCAAGTATCATGGCTGGCCAGGCACCACTTTGCTATCACGATGTGTCTGTATTTGTTGTTGCTGATAGTCATCGGCGTGTTTAATTCACCAGCATTCCAGTCTTTTTGGAACAGACTTTTCAACGAAAGAAAATGAGAAGCACTTTCGTACATCAGCAACTCTTATGAGTGCCTTAATACATCGGAACCAAGACAATCTTGTTGGGAGCTGTAGTACCATAGTCTGCTTCATAAGCCTTGTTCCACATGCTGTTTTGTTATTATTGTTTGCACAACAAATAGTTTTTTTTTTTAATGTTCTAACTCTCCTGCTTTCTCCCTCATGATGAGAGAGTTGTTTTTTTCCTTGCTGCTAGACAGATGTCCTGTAATTTGTTTTTATTTTAGTTCTGTTTTTGGATTGTACCTTTCTCAGTTCAAGCCTTAAAACAAGTAATTGACTAAATGGGTCAGAATATCACAGGCAACAACACTTGGCATGCTTTTAAACAGGCAAAAGTAAAGTTTTTGCATAGTTGTTGCTTGCATATAGTGGTCCCCAAAGCATCTAAAGATGGTCCTCCAGCATCACAATAGATGTATAACTAGGATTCTATATCAGGAAGTCTCTTTTACTGCGGGAAGACCGTTCGCAGTCAATGTGGGTCCATATTGCACTATCACTGGCGGAGAGCTGTGGTGTGCCAGTCTAGAAAATGCTGGGTTTTCATGACACGGGACGTGTACATTGTATTTGTAATCGTAGCATTCCAAAACTTGCCAAAGTGTACCCTGGTAGTTAGAACAAACAAGGCTTTGGTGATGTATTTGGTGAGTTTTTGTTCAGTTTGTACTGGTCTGCACTGTGATGGTTTTTGTTTCCTGGCTCCAGAAGAATGTGCTTGGTGTTCAAAGCCATGCTGCACATGAAGCCTTACTGCATTTCCTGTTGTCATGTTCTCTAGTTTTGCCTTATGTATAGTCAGAGGATGAGATGAATACAACATAATTACTTCTGATGAATGTGGGACTTTTAACATGGGTTTTTAAATCTAAAAACCTGCTATGATCTGTACTTGATTTGTGTTTTTTATACTTTAGAAAATGCATAGTACAAGCAGCCATGTTTTCTTTACTATTTAAAGAAGTTTTGTTGGGAGGAGCATTATGTTTGGATAACGTGTTATTCCCTGTCATACTTTCGATAAAGAAAATATTTGTTACCAGTGTGATATTTTTGTGTTTTTTACATTACAGTTCTAGGCCTTGAAACCATATTTGATTTTTCTGCATTTGATACTTAAACGTGGTCATAAAAAAAATATTTTCTCGTCATACTGTTATTTCTGCTGGTGCATTAATTTCTTTTGAGATCTGGGTAAAAAACACTTTGTTTGAACAAGCTTTATTCCAAGAGCAGGGAACGCAAAGCTGTATTTTACACAATGCAGAGATTGCGCACAAAATAATCCAGCCTGGATCCTCAATTTTTAAAATTAATTCCGGGAGCCAGTTCGGCAGAATGATTTTACTTTTCCATGTGAAATATGTTATGTATCCCTTTATTGTGCAAAAATAAAGGATACGGCTTGTATGTCTTCATGAAGTCTTTCCAAGTATCTGAAACTCCATCCCTCCATCCGTTTTCTAAACGCTTATTCCAATTCAGGTCACACATAGACACATGCACACTCACACCAGGTCCAGTTTTCCCGGAAGCCAGTTTACTTTCCAGAATGTTTTTGCACTGTAGGAGGAAAACCCTGGAGAAAACCCACATGGATACAGGGAGAACATACAAATACCACAAATTCAGCAGCCCGGGTCCACAGTTAAACCCAGGGCCTCGACACTGCCACACCTGAAATGGACAGGAGCCCATCCAGAGTGTATCCTCCCTTAGGCTGGTTGCTTGTCGGAGGAGACTGGCTCACCTTCGACCCTGCTGTGGATGAAGCGGTTAGAAAATGGGTGGATGTAAGTTCTTCAGCAGAGCTATACAATGAAGGCAGGAAAAAAGTGCATATAAGTGCAGGATCCTGGAAATACAGGGCCTAGATAATTTATAATCATATTTTAAAATAGGAACAAGTAAAGGTTTATTCCATGCAGAAAACAAACAAAATTTCGACTGTGGAGCCTTCTTCAACGGGTGTCACAGGTTCTTTTGCAGCCTGTGCATGCTGATGCAGCTACATTCTTTAACTATATTTTAAAATATATAATCATAAACCCGTTTGTCATGTTCCTCTTTTCGCTCTGTAGCTTCAATGCTGTGGGGCTGTGTATTTGTGACCCATAGAGGTAAAAATAATTGTTTTCCTATAAAGATTGCTTAGTGATATTTGAGCCTTACTTAAGATAGAATTCCATCAATGCAGGAGAGCAAGACTGCCATGAATGGGCTAAAACATACTATTGACCTGGACGTGGAGGAAGCCAGCAACAAGGATTCACAGCTCTAGTCTGGAGATCCTTCTACCTCTGCTTTTAAGGCCCTCATTGAGCTCACCTTTGGTTTAGCTGGACCAATTCAATAGCCATTGACTTAAAGAGACCTAGAAAGCTTGCACCCATGGTTGTGAATAATGCATTAGGAAAACTTGATCAAAAGGTCCAGTTTTTCCAAAAGGTGTGCTGAACAGCAGACTCGAGAACAATCTCATACATGGGAAATGAAACAAGTTGTACAGGTGTTGAAGCTCAGAGGGTAAGGTTTTAAATAGCAGTCGTACCATTTCCTTCTTAAAGAAAGCCTATCCTCACAAAATCAGCATATTACTTCCATTTCTGTTTATGTTGGCATATAGTATTCTGTAGTTGTGAGGCTTTGTTGGAACCTGGTAGAATAGTTCTGATGTCTTTTGACAGCATTTATTTTCGTTGGAAATGTTTTTGGGCAACTGTTACAAAACAACTGCTACGAAAAAGCAAGCATCATTTTCTGGGTAAAGGGGTTATTTGCTGTTTATATGCATGTCCTTGTTACTTCTAGTGTTTGTGCAAAAAAATCTCTGATGATAGTATGTTCTTCTCAGCGAATGGAGAAATGGTTTTGGAACAATAAGGGCTTCTGTACACCTTTTATTACCTGGTTCAGTTTCGTATAACGTTTACTAAATCTTTGTGAGAGGGTGCCCATTTGACTGGCTATAAATGACATTTTACAATGGGACTCTATAAAATAAAGAATCTCTCACAGCATTTCCATCTTGGTGGATATGAAACGATGCTTTGTTATTCTGCTGGATGGCCTTGCTCCTCATAGGTTTTTTTGAACATAGGCCAAAAGTAATTCACAGCTAATTATTACTGATGTGCGGCACACTTAATATTGCGACACAGCTTATTTTAATAACTGAGGCACAGAAATGGGAGTCTGTTCTTGTAAGATAAGTGGATGATCATAAAAAGCTGTGGTCGTCTTGGTTGTACAAACATCGCAATCTGTTTGGGCGACTTGTGTTATATATTATTGTATGTTATATGCGAGTCTTTGCATTCAGTGCGTTTCTGTGAGGTTTGTGTTTCAGGTCAAAAATGTTATTGATTTAATTTGTGCACTCTCAGGGATTTGGTGTTTATGGCTGGTGACAGACCTGGGACTGTGGTTATCTGATTCCTTTAATCATTAAGAATCACTGTGGCTTATTGTAATTACAACAATGGATTCTTTGTAGTAGTCTGTTGTAGCGTGTCCTGTGTCTGTTACTCTTTCGATTCTGTCCCACAGGGTTATTAGGTGTTGAAAAACACTTAAGGTTTTCGCTGCTGTCATTTGTTGAGATGAGCAGTGCTGCATGGTGTGGTGAAATTGGAGTAAAGCAGGACTCTACCATACTGGGGTCTATATGAGTATATATACTCTATGGTGAGTGGACTGACTTTCTAATCAGTGAGAGCTCTTGCCTCACCCATGGTTCAGTGAAAATGGCAGACTTTGTCTTTCTGTGTCAGCCACAGCTGTCCTCCCACTCCAGATGTTTTCTTCACGTTAGAGTCCGGTTCCGTTTCTACCATGTGCTGTTAAAATGCCTGAAATCTGGGGTGCTCTAAACCTCATCCAGCGTCTCCCATGGAACCCTCTGTGTGCTGGTCTGTGCTGCTTTGTGAAATGTAAAATGGGGATCTTGTAAAGAACATGCATGAGACTTGGGAAGCATGGGAACAGGCACAGTCCCCTGTAGGAAGGTTTTCCAAACAGCCACAGAAAGTCTTTAGTTCTCAGATGGGTGTTATTAAAATCCAGTTTGATACCTCTGAGCATTTTCAAGATCAAACTATGAAAGCACTGGTTTTTTTTTAATTCTGTTTCCCACAACAGTGTCTCCAAAGCTTTGTTTTTATATTTAGATGTGTGCATACGAGAATATTGCACTCTGACGTACAAGGTTGATTAGATCCCATATGCATGGAAAATTCTCAACAAGCAGCAGTTGACACATATGGTTTCTCTAATCCCTGAAATAAGTGTTAATAACTATTGCATTATGGTAATAACTGTCAAGAAACATTTCTTATTCTGAAATGGGTGTCTGAATGATTTTCCCGTATAATAATATTAACCCAATTACAGTAAAGTATAGGGTTAATATTAACCCCATGACAGTACACAGTGGTAAATGTTTTTTTCACACACATTTTGCTTGTGAGAAATAAGTCTTAATAGAGCAGGGAAGCCACTGTTTCAGGCTCTGCTGATTTATTTTTATTGAAACGAAGCAGGAATAGAGATGATTTAGTTAAATGTCGGCCGTCACACACATTAGTGGGTATTGATTTCTAACCTGCAAGGGCAAGTTGTCTGTGCCACAGAATGAGAATGTGTAGTATGAACAGTTGCTAGATGCATTTTGAAACATGGGGAAATAAACACATAGTCTCTTTATTGATCATGACATGATCTGAAACAGAATGGAAGAATAGTTTTTGATCTGAAACGGAAAGTATTACATTACTAATTAAGGGAAGATCATTCTGTCAACTGAAGCAGGATAGTATGTAGTTAATATTAACTGGAATGAATCTATCTTTAATTCATTTATAAAAAGCACAGTTGCCTGAACTCTATAAGGCAGCCATACTTTACTCTGGTGATAATTGATAGGTACTGTAATGAAGATACTTTCTTAAATGTTACTTTAGTGTTCACCGATTAGCAGAAGAGTTTATTTATACAGACATTAATATGAAGATTTCAGCAACGCATTCAGTTAGAGGTACAGTAAACATTCATTCTGTAACTCTATTCACGTATAAACATTTCATTGTGGTCTGTCTAAATCTTGTTTGTGCTGCAAAAGAAGAAAGAGCAATTGTCTGTTGTTTGCAGATTCACTAAAGAAAAATTTCTTTTATTCCTCTGCTCTTCATTAGGGATCATAAGGTTAAAGCTGTCCATGCTTTCAGAAGGAGAACCACCCAGTAGCTTAAATTATGAAGCCACTGTCCTGGAAAATAGGGCGCACAGTGGTGTAGTGGTCAGCATTTCTGCTTTACAGCACAGGGGCCCCGGGTTCCGGTCCTGGGGTGCTATCTGTGTGGAGTTTGTATGACCTCCCTGTGTTCGCGGGTGCTGTAGTTTCCTCCCGCAGTCCAGACACATACTTGTAGGATAATTAGCTTCTGTAAAAAATAGCCCTGGTGCAAGTGTGTGTGCGCCCTGCGATGCACTGGCGTCCCCTCCAGGGGGTACCCCGCCTTACACCTATTGCTTGCCAGTATAGGCTCTGGTCCCCCGCGACCCTAAATTGGATGGAGCAGTTAGAAAATGGATGGATGTCTCGGAAAGCAATAATAAAGGCTGATCATCTCTTATCATGACAGCTCTCTTTGTCCCGGGGGACTGAGTTCTGCAGCAGAAAGGGGCTGTTTACAATATAACACTTCAGACTCACTCCACAGATGCCACAAGGCTCTGGTTTACACGAAGGCCTCGGAAATAAATTGTGTCTTTACACAGGGGGAAGATGTCCTAAGATGAATGGTGTGTTATGAATGGCACCACTTATAATCTGGAAACAATTCTGCACATTGTTTTTATTACACTGTGTCATGTCTGAGGAAGACAGTGACATAGTGTTGATGTTTTTCCACCCATAGACTCCTTGGTCATATTGCATGTAGCTCCAGACCTGTCTGTGCCTCCAGGAATGTGGAATCATGTGGAATGTTTCTTTCTGTTCCTGTTCTGAAGAAGATAAAGCCTGGAATCATTGTTGAGGCAAAGAAAATCTGTTGCAGTGAAAAAGATGCAGGTGTTCCAGATGGTATCTCCTGCAGGATCTCTCTTTAGCCAGAAAGAAATCCAAACTGTTTTAGCTTCTGTGCCTATCTTTCATTGAAGGCAAGACCTTATAGTGAATGACACTTCTTTGAAAGGGTTCAGTGATTAAGTTTTCGTGTTTCACAAAATCCAATTCATTTTCTTATGTACATAAATTAAAGGGGACTTTTAACAAAACTGACCATTGTTTTCCAGGCCAAGGACATGTAATTTATGTGCTGGCAGTTCTGCAGTTACAGGATCATAAAGCTTTGTAGCTGTTATACAGTAACCAGTTGTGATGTCTAGTGCTGTCCTTGGGGAGTGTAGTGTCTGAATCACTAAATGAGCTGACACTGGTGGGCAGGCCCCAGCCTCTCTTTCTCTTTTGACATCTCCTTTGTGAACTTAATCTGCAGGATCAGGAGTGTGTGATTAAAGACTTAATTAGAACACGTCAGGCTGCTATGTTAGCTGCCTGAATCAGTTGAGAACATGTCATTTTAATTGTTCTTATAGAAGCCCATGTCCCAGTCTGTTTAAAACTGTGACCTTGTCATGTGCTTTTTTGTGGTTTTAAATCTGGTCTGCACTTAAGACTTTTCCATTGCCTAACCTTATTTATTACAGAATGAGCTTGAGTCTAGAAAATGAGCAATTTTGTAGAGCCCTGTGTCGTGCCATCCATTGAATCATGTGAGAAATATCTGCAATAATTTCTGCAGCAGTGGGAAGTATCCCAAAGCACGACACAGAAACTACATCTGCCACCAGGCTGGAATTTCCCAAACACATGGGTACTATTGGATCCAGGATTGGAGTAGAACACCTGGATGCTATTGGAAAACATGCACAGGGTGTGAGAACAAAGAAGTTTGTTTTTTGCAAATACTTCCAAATGTGAAACCATATTCATGAATTAAGGCAATCTGGCACATTGTGCAATCTTTATTTATCACATGTACTACTATAATTACAATATTTGACATAGCAAAGCCCATAGTTTTCCATTTTTACTTTCACCATTATACTTCCATTCAAACAATTAATGGACCTACCTATACAACAACATTTACATTTAACTATTTAAATTTAAATAGGGAAAGTAGACCTTAGCAGAATCATTTGAAGTTGATTTCAGTTTTTCTTAATTGTTCTTGTTTGCTGAAGCGTGCTACATTTCTGGCTGAACTGGGTTCTCATGATGAGGGCTGGTTTTCTCTGAAGAGTGGAATTATTCTAGTTTTTCAGGCTGTGCTGGAACAGCTAGGGACCAGGCAAACAAAAAAGCCCTCTGCATTAGTCTGTGAAAGAAAGAAAAGACAGTGTGATTGTGCTGCATTAAGATCGCTGCATTTGAATGCCCAGCAGAAAAATTTGATTGGTTTAATACACGAGTGGACAATGAAATACAAGATCAAAAATAAAACTGTTTTTACAGTGGAATGGTACTGCTGCTAGGGAGGAAAAATACTTAGCTAAAAGCTCTAAGAAACAACAATTGAAAATTAAACTGTTCAGTCCCTCAGTGTAGCATCTTTCAAGAAAAAGGTTTGTGCTGCATCAGAATCACCCATTTTTATTTAAAAACCTAAATGAATCTACAGAGATTTCTCTTTCTTTATAACAAGAAACAGGACAGGCATCTTCTCCATTCAGAAGACCTTCAGAGCCGAGATGTAAAGTCCTGGGGCTGGAGGGCTGGTCAGTGTGTCTGCAGGTGGTTCAGGTTTCTTCAAAGCAGCAGCATCTGAACAGCCCAGCGAATCTAGTGAATTTGGTTTGAGTTGATGTGAAGAGCTGAGCTGGAATGAAAGCCTGCAGACACACCAGCTCTCCAGGACCAGGACTGGACACCCCTGCTTTAGAAGAAGGCTCATCTGACCAGCAGGCGACTCCAGAGCCACCTGCCTGATGAGGCCGCGTGAACCAGACAGTTTGCGCTCGGTGCTGCCCCCCCCCGCGGCCGGCACTCACCTGCAGGCCCTGGTGGCAGGCAGGCTCCTGGCTCTGGCCGAACCCGCGGTGCACGCACCTCCCGAAGCGGCGCAGGCAGGGCAGGTCGGAGGAGGAGGGGCAGGCCTCGTGGCACCGCGGCTGCTGGATGACGAAGCAGCTGCTGCAGGAGGTGTGCTGGCACCGTCCCTGGCAGTCCCTGCTCTCCAGCACCACAGCCCTGCAGCCACAGACTGAGACGTGAGGCGCTCGGCCTTCGGCTCGTCACCCTTTCAACGACGGACACCTACAGGAAGTCTGAGCGCAGCCGGAGCGCCGCAGCAGCTTTAACACCAAGAGCTCCAGAGGTGCAAAAATAGGCACAATTTTTAAACTCCGTAATTGTTCTCACATGGGACTTGAGTCGGTCAGTAAATGCTTTCATTAATCAGCATTGTGGAAGTGAAGGACTTGGTGTGTGACCGGAGAAAGATGCTGGAGGTTTTGAAGGAGTGGGAGATGCTGATCACCTACCTGGCTGAACATATTTCAGACGGGTTGTCTCTGCAGAATTCCCAGGTGCATTGCGGTCGGCAGACCTCCTCCTTCTCCTCCTCCCCCATCTGTAGCACTGTAATCCACAGCAAGACATGTCACCGCTGATCCTTTCTACACTACTGTTGTGGACCAATCTGCTTTTAATTTAAAAATATAATCTGAGGTTTTAAAAAGCCAACAAATGAGTACTATAACGAATAGCATGTGAAGTATGTTTTAATGCCTCTTGGTACAGGTTTCTAAAAAGCTATTGCAAAAACTGTTTTTACACTTGGAACATTTCTTACTTTACGTGCTCTACAGCTCTGCCGTTTTTGCTTAAATTTCTGGATCTTAAGTAAGAAACGTTCCAAGGCCTTCCTTCTTCAGAGTATTAAACCTATTTACCGTTGGTTTTGTAGTTCAATCTAGTGTTACACTGTTGCAGCCTGGATGTTCTCTACCTCACAGTATGGAAAATAGTAAATGAAAAAGTGACACTTGAATATGATTAATGTCAGCCACGTCCTCTATGTGGGCTTCTATGTGGATTATCACACCTCCTCAGGACTGTCACCTTATGAAAAAAATACTGTACGACCACGGGAATTTCACACTCTTCCAGAGAATAACGTTTTCCAAATCCCGTTCATATAATCCTCCGAGGCAATTGAATTATTAACTGTACAGATGCAATTAAGATAAGTCAGGCACTTTAGTGAAGTTCCGATGAGATTGGAGCAGTGATTATTGTTTTACTGGCACGACAGACTGCTTTCAAGTTGAAGGAAGCCTTGACTTGGTTAACCTTTTTCACGGCTTGTATATCAAAGCAGGTCTTACTGACAATAGGTCTAGCAAGTTAATAGAAAAAAGAAAAAAAAACAACATAACAAAACAGTGTAAAATTTGTATCCATATCTTTAAAGGCCAGTACCTGTACATCATTTCTTACAACCGTTGACAATATCAGAGCAGTCCTTTTCCCAAGAAAACCATAATACTGGCAATGGCACAAGCCACTTTAATTCATAGCAGCCCTGGGACTTCCTGCTGTAATTTTACAACAAGCACTGACAAGACCTTTCACTGCAGAGGTTTACAGCTTGCATAGGCCATTAGAATGTGATTTGCAATGCAGAGGTAGGTAACAGTTGCAAAAGAACATTTAGATTAAGATGCTTTAATCTTTTAACAGAGAAATGGCTTTTAAAGTCCCTTTGGTCATCACTCTTGGTAATTAACATTGATTAAACTAGAATTGCTGGCCTTCATCAAAAACGTACGATTGTTTATTACACGAAAACATCACATGCATTCACACTCGAGCATTTAAACATAAATTGAAAACTGTTGCTACTCAAGCTTTAGTTGTGGATTCTAAAATTAGCTGATTCTTTGCACATCAAACAAAGATCCTATATGATTAGTGTTTGAATTTTCTTCTCATTTCTTGATCACCTCAGCATATTAATTATGACACATTTAATGGCAATTACTGTCCTTTTATTGTGAGCAAGTGTGATTATGACAGTCAAGAAAAGTGAGGGGATATTATAACATTATAACATTTGTATAAAAGACATTGGGCATCTTTTTTAATAATGTTACCAATGTTACAAAAGCATTTATAACTCTTTAGCTTTTTTGTCCAGTTTCTTATAAAGAGAAAAAAGGGTGTTAAATTGCATTTTATGAATACTATCCATTGTTTTGTGACTTAGTTTTTACTCTAGAAAAATCTTTAGAGTTTAAACTTGCATCGTCTCTGCTGAGGTTTGGAAGGTTCAGGAAATGAGAAACTGAAGTTTTCAAAGTCTGAAAAAGTTAGCTACTGTATAGGTTATTAGCATGTAGAAAAAAGTGAAGCCCATTCTACTTTAGAGATTACACTAAGTGCGTTTGGAAATCCTGTTTGTTGGCACATTGTCATTGTGTGATTAGTTATTCAGACAGTGGGCTTACCCTCTGTACAGATTCCCTTCAGCTCCCCGGTGGACTCCTGCTCTCGGAGATCCTGGTAGACACAGCTCAGTCCCTCATCACACTTGCCCAGGTAGTCCCACTTTCCTCCACAGCTCTCCCCAGCAATCCGGGCACAGACTGGGCAGCACCCGCAGATACCAGTGGTGATCCCCCCTTTGCACTGCAGTTTCAGGGCCCTTTTTGGGGTACAGTGAATCCGCTCGCACTCAGGGCAGTGGAGAGCCTGCAATGTCACCCCTTCCCTGGGGCCCTGGGCCCCTGACAGCTCCAGGATCCAGACAGCCAGCGCCAGCACCAGGGGTACCTTAAACCCGCTACATGGCATCATTGCTGCGGTCTTATTAATGCCTTTGAAACAAGTCCAGTCTGCTGGTTTTATACAGCACGCTGGGCTTATATGGTCAACAAACCCTCTGCTTTATTGGCCTTGTAGCCAATGGACTTAAACAAAACAGCAACGCAGGGTTTACTGCAAGCACAGCCCATGGCTGTTGTTGATTACTGGTTAACGTTATCTTTACAATCTCTGTTTTTTCCATGTATTCCTTCTTTTGAACAATTTTAGATAAGTTCTTATAATATTGAAAGACTAAGCCTTTTGTGATTTGAGTCACGTGATGCAGAAGGGGGCAATTTAGTCTATCAGATCCAAAGATAATACTGTTTCTGGCAAGGACAAGATGAGGTCATTGGCGGGATATCTGAGAAGATCCATATGTGCTTGAAGTCAACATGGTTGCAATAAAATGTTACTGTCTGGTTACTCTGGGACACTAGTACAGACATAGATTGAGATCAGATAGCCTGAATAAATCAATCTGTTTTCTGTGCAGCAGAATAGTGAGACTGTTTACAAAGATAATGGATAAAACCTTATCCTTTGCCAACAAAATCCTGATTATCTGTTAAATTGGTTTTCCAAGAGTTTCTGCTTCCGTGCAAAAATAGTTTAATGAAATGAAAGACAATTTGCAGAGGATAAATGTTAAACTTGACAGTTCGTCATTAGAGATGTGAGGAAGATTTGGCTAAAATAGGGTTTGAGCTGCTGTCCCATTGGGAGCAACGAAATCCCTGTGCCTGTGCCCAGAGAGCTCACCAGTCAGGATGTAATCCCTTACATTGAACCAAGACAATGAGCAAGGACAGCGTTCCAAACTCTTCGTTTTTAACCCCGACTCCAGCCTATGCCAGCCCAGGCACAGGTCCTCCCGAAGCGATGGAGTGTATAGCCTGTAGACAAATGGGTCCAACAACGTGTGCAGGAGGCCAGACAGGAAGAGGGTGTGGTTGACATGCTCTGGGATTTCTGTTTGAACCAGTACCACAAACCCAGCAGATAGTAGGGGGGTCCAACACACAATAACGGAGACAGTCATTTTCAGGGTTTTCATTCTTGCTTTGGAGATGTAGTCATTCTTGCTTCCCATCAGAACCATAGAGCGGGCAGAAAAACGAGGGGGGCGATAGAAGCAATCTTGAAAACTGAGCAGCATCTAGGAAGAACCCTTCCAAATCACAAGCCATCACAGGTTGTCTCTCAAAAAGGAGTTTGAGTTGCTCTAGGTGTTGGTTCACAAGCAATGGTAAAGGGAAGCCTGAGGTTGGATGGGGCATGCGTTGTACTATGGGCGTTGTAGGTCCATCTGTTCTGAAGCAGGACAATCCATGTCTTCAGTCATGGTCATAAACATTGGATAACGACTGAACGGAGACGATCACAGGTACAAAGAGCTGAAATGAGTTTTGTCGTCAGTATAGTTGGGCTCACCTTCTAGGACAAGGTGAATGGCTCAATAATCTAGGAGCCAGCTGAGGTAGTTCATGCATCTTGTTATGTAGCCTCCCGAGTAGCTTCCTTTGGAGATCTTGGTATGCGCCCCCCCCACTGTATGGAGACCCTGTTGTTGGTTCAGTACACCTCCTGACTGGTCGGGGCACAAGTGGGGACCCCCCAGAAAATCCTTTCTAGAAGAGATTTGTGCAGCATGAGAGGGGAGAAGGGACCTTGCTGCCCACCTTCGTCACCCTGCCGCTTCTCCGCAGGAGCAGCAGGTAACCATGACAGCCAGTGGGTTGACACAGCGAGTGAGGAAAGTGAACATCTTATACAGGGTCTCCTGTCAGTGCTGCTTAAAGTTGACAATTATCGCACACTGGGTTTTAAATGGGGCTTTAAACTCCTACACTAATGTTTCTCAAATTAAAAAAAAAAAACTCCAGTCTCCTCAAGGAGGGGGGAGGGGGTTCTGAGGTTGTCATGACAACCTCATGGCCTCTAGAATGGTTGGGTCTTGAAGCGGGAAACACAAAAATGAATTTGCTTGCTTGCTCTGCTGCTGCCCCCTTCCTCATGCGTTCTGCTGTCTCCCGTGCTGTTGCCTGTGTGTTCCTGTGGTGTGTGTTAGTACAGGTTATGCGAATGCATTTCATTAGAAGCGGGTGCTTTCTTGGTTGTCTGGGAAGCATTGTAATGCAGCGGAGTATGAAAGCACTGCAGGGTAGAGTGCAGTCATGCTGCGACTGCTGCTTTTATAATGGAATGGCTTCATTTATCAGCTGGAAGAGTACATCACAACCCGTTTGTCCAGGCAGTGATTGGTGTTTATTCCTTGGGCTAAACAAGGCAGAAGAGCACAGCTACTGTATGTTTCCTGGAAAGCAGACCTCAGGTGTGGGCAGGTGTACGCAGGCCTGCTGTAGAAAAGCTGGGATGTGCACTAATTTCATAAATCAAGAATTTCAGCCAGAAGGTAGAAGTGGAAATTACGTGGAAATCCATTTAAAATCAAGGTCAGGAGGCACTTCTTAATCGAGAGGATTGTGGGAATGTGGAACAAGCTGCCGAGCCATATTGTTGATGCTTATAACCTGATTTCTTCAAAGGAAGAACTGGACTAGATGGGTGAATTAACTACTATCAAACGAGCTAGATGGGCACAAACCAATTGCAATATAAAACAGCTGGATGAGGCACAGAAATGGGAATTCACTTTAGTCACTTTAGTAACTGATCTATTGACTTCTGATGAATACTGATCTCACAAGTGCTATATTCCTGTGTCCCTCTTCCCAGACAGGAATTAATTTAAATGCTCTGCCTACTCTACTTACTGTAAACTCTATCGTTTCTTTATTCAGTGAAATGCTTTAAAACGCAGAGGTAGATTGGCACATACTGTACCAGAGCCACGCGGTCCCAGGTGAAGGGTGACTGTTCATTAGATGCTTGTCCTCTGCCTCAGTTTGGCATCATCTGTTGCTTGATGATTGGGTCTGCCACCTAATCACAGCAAGAGTCCACAGTCGCCAAGCAGCCAGTTACCTGCACTCGGTCACGGGATCATTTTTTAAAAAGGCACTACAAGTTGGGAATTAGTAATGGATTGTTGGCTCATTAAAATGGGAAATGAAGTAAATTAAAATATTTGAATTGTTATTTTCTTAAATAGATTGGGCAGTCAGAACATATTTCATAATTCACAACTTCTCACTTGCAGCCATGATGAGCAACATTTGTTAGAAATACATGCACTGATTTTGTTCATTGCAGTCATGAGAAAACACTCCAGTTCTTCAGCCTGGATTCAAAACATAAAAATGAAAGCAGCTGGGGCCTTTCACAGTGCTTTCTGTGAGAGTCTCTGTGACAGCCCTGGTCCCATCTTTTCTCCTCCCCCTCCGGGGGGATGCTGTTCCCATGGCAACCTGGCGAGCTCTGTGTTGAATGGCAGTTCTCTGAAGCACATAAGATGGAGTTATTTTCCTTGTAGTAACACATACTGCACCCCATCCATCACTGCAAACACCCAGCAGTTTGTTTTTGTAGCCTCAAAATGTTCCCAAAAGTGTTTCTTCTGCTTTGAAGGCCTTTTATTAATAGTTTTTTTTCTTCATGAACTGAACCTTATTTTCCTTCAGTATGTAATCGGACGCATTCTCGTTACTTTAAGTAATCAATGTGCTATTTAAAATAATACATTTTAAACACCAGAATCTGTAATCAGCACCAATTAATCATTAAAGACAATGATAGATAGATAATACTTTATTAATCCCGTAGGGAAATTGATGTGTTACAGCAGTCCAGCCCAAGACAAGCAAAACAGACATCAGAATAGTTATAAAACAAAAGACAAACAAGATAAATAAAAACAAATAAATAAATACATACATACATACATAGGTGTGTGCAAAATGTGCTGATCATAGTAACTGTAAAAATGTGCATAGGTTTATACAGACTTATTGCCCAAAAAGTACAATGGAGTAAATACGCTGTCCATAGAGGAGCAAATGAAGGGCTAAAAGTCCTAGCCTAGGGCAGCGTTATATACCCTGACAGCCGCCGGGATGAAAGACCTGCGGAAACGTTCCCTTGAACACTGTAGCTGGAGCAGTCTATTGCTAAATGTACTCCGCTGCCCAGTAACAGTCCTATGAAGCGGATGAGAGGTGTTGTTCATGATGGCTGTGAGCTTGGTCAGCATTCTCCTCTCAGCCACCACCTCCATGGGGTCAAGGCTCATCCCCAGCACAGTGCCAGCCTTCTTGATGAGTTTATTGAGCCTATTTGCATCTTTTGTCATGACACCACTCCACAAAATTGGTAATCAAGCTCCTATATTCCTCCTCCCTCCCCTCTCTAATACACCCCACAATTGCAGAGTCATCTGAAAACTTCTGCAGATGACATGTCTCAGAGTTGTACCTGAAGTCAGAGGTGTAAAAGGTGAACAGGAATGGAGCAAGGACAGTCCCCTGTGGAGCCCCAGTACTGCTAACAACCTGTTCGGACACACAACTCTAGCCGTACATACTGTGGCCTGCAGGTCAGATAGTCTATAATCCAGGACAGCAGGGGAGTGTCCACCTGCGCCGCCCTTAGCTTATCTCTCAGTAAAGGTGGATGGATGGTGTTAAAGGCACTGGAGAAGTCAAAGAACATAACTCTCACAATGCTCCCCGTCTTCTCTAGGTGAGAGTTAGCTCTGTGTAGCAGATGGATGACTACATCCTCCACTCCCAGGTGTGACCAGTAGGCAAACTGCAGGGGGTCCAGTGCTGTACTCACCAGGGTTCTGTGATGGTCCAGTACAAGCCTTTCCAGAGTTTTAATTAGGTGTGATGTAAGTGCCACTGGTCTGTAGTCAATCAAGACTTTAGGGTACAGAGACATAGGACCTTGATTAACTGCCTGATTGCAAAATGCAAATCAGCCTCTTCTGATACTACTGTGAGCTTAATTACCTAGTATTTCAGCTATTAATTTGTGCTTGATTATCTTATTAATAGTACGGACTAACAGACATGTGCATAGTTACTTGTAACAACCACAGTCACTTGTAGATTGATAGATTT